GACCCTCCTCTTTAGGAGGACAGGTACCCCCTCCCTGAGCGCTTACTGTGTCATTTCATCATGATGGCACTGCCCACAGTAGGGTCTCAAGAACAAGCTGCAGACGGTGCCAGGAAGCATCCTCAAGACACACCCAGCAGAAATAGCAAAGGTTTCTTTACAGATTAACCATCCTCTCTGCAGCGCACCTCCTAATGTTTCTGCAAATGGCAGAACTCTGCCTCCCTCTCCATCCCTCACAGCTCCTAAAGGCTGCTGAATGTTCCCGACCACCAACTTTTGTCTATTGCCACTGCCACCAGTTCTCACCCACTGAGATGGCACAGAGCCTAAGAAATATGTCCCCAAAGGCCCAACTCAGGGCTTGAGCTCAGAGAATTTTCCCAAGAACCTCAACAGATGTCTTGGGCTCCTGGCTCAAGGTGTGTTCATTATGACCATTGAAAGCATCTCCCCTGCAGGCTGACGGCTGTTCTTCCCCTCGGCTGGGATGCTAGGCATCTCACAAGCATGTGATGGTCTCAGGGGGCAGGGGGTGGTTCAGCACATGAGCTTTGGAGTCATACAGGGTATGGTGTCAAGGGTTAGGGTATCAGTGCTATGAATGAGACATTGTGGGACCTTGTATAGGTCTCCTTAGGTCCCTGAGCCTCAGTTTTCTCATCCATAAAATGGAGATAATACAGAGGCACATCCCATTGGATGCACACCATGTTCACAGAGTATAGGTGCAGGGGGATGGCGGGAAGGAAGAAGAGCTATGCTGAGTCACACTCCGCTGCACAGATCTGAAGCCAGTCGTGCAAGAAATGGATTCTGTGGCTCACTGAGTTTCTCTGCAATGGCAGAACAGCGACAGAGGACAGTGACACGGGAGGGAAGGCAACTTCCTGCTCCAGGAGGGGGTCAAGGATGCTTCCAGTTTCTTCTGTCCCCCCTCCCCAACTGTGGAACCACATCCATGAGACCCTCCTCAGACCGGGACAGACAGGCGTCTGACCAGAGTACAGGAAGCCACTATAGCTTTAATTAAGCTATCGCTAAGCACTTTATCTCAACTCCCTCACCCGTTTGACAGATGAAGAAAACTCAAGCTCAGAGAGGTTAAGTACATTGCCCAAGGTCACCCCACTAGGAGGGAATCTGGAAGCATACATTTTCCTGGCATAACTGCTCCAGTGGGAATCGACAGGTTTTCTAAATTTGATGAGTGTGGGACCAGAGCTGGGATAATCTTCCAAGTCCCATTAACTATCGGGATGGATACAAAGAGAGGCACCACAGAGAGCTGGCATTCTCTAGGACTTCCAGGAACTAGGGTGCCCAGGAAGGCTTCAGGGTGGAGGCGAGGTCTCATGTCAGGTCTTGAAGGATGGCTAGACCATGCTTGCCAGGGAGGTCTAAAAATTCTTCCAGGAAGAAGTGAAAGCAATAACAAAGACTCAGAAGTAGAAGCCAGCCAAGCCAGGCTGGTCATGACTCCAGGAGAAGCCCACAACAGGTGTGAAAAAGGTTTCTGGGAAAGATGTCTGGTCCCCCGTGTAACTGTTTGCCCATCTCAGGGGAAGCGAGAGTGTTAAGGGGTGGGGACTTGGTCTGCTGCCCTTCCCCCAGTCGCCCCACTCTCTGTGCACCCCTTCCCCACTGCACCAATGGAGAAAAGCATGTTGTGTCTACAGATTGCCGGCTAAGAGCCTTCCATGGGTTGGCTTGCCTATTAGGTCTCTATAGAAAAGGGGAAAACTTGCCTCTTGGAATCTCTAGAGAAGTAAGAGTTAGGACTGGTGGTCCCTGAGGAACTACTATTTCTGAGGAAAAACAATAATGTGAGTCAGAACACAACCCGTTCTGGCAAGGGCAAGCCTCCTCGCATCAACCACCCCCCACCGCCAAAATAGCCAAGTGGGCTCGGGGCTCAGAATCACTCAATTGACAAATCCCCCCTTCAAGCAAAGGGGTGAAAGCAATGTGGGTGACAGCTGGATGTGTCTGGGTATTATGTGTGACAGGATAAAGGAGACAATACAGCCATTTGACTGCTCTTTGTCTTTCGGTGTCCTGAAATTTCCAACTCATTGTGATTAAAATAATTAAAGTTCTGCCCTAAAATGGAGATATCCCCTGGCTTGTCAGATCCTAAGACGAGGGTGTAGATTAATTAGTTGGGTCAGAATACTGAGGTCCTTGAATCCCGTGTTGTTCAGGATGGTAGCAGGATGGAGGGGCTATTAGGGGGTGCAGAGCAAAGCCTGGGAGCAGAAAGGACAGATGTGCTTGGGGAGCAGGGGGCATGGCCGTGGCTGCAGCGTGTGTGAGTTGGCAGCGAAAGAGGAAGACATGGGTCTGTAGAAGGAGGCTGGACTAGGGTGTTAATCATAGGCTGAGTGTCTGTTCTCTGTCCCGCTGGTTGTAGGAACAACTGGAGAGGGATTTTAAGCAGAGGGATAGACCCTCTGACGGGTACCTCGTAGCCTCGGTCTTCAGTCCTGCTCCCCCTTCCCTTTCCAGATACACCCAAATGCCCTCACCCACATCACCTTCCCCGTGGTGTCTCCCTCTCAGCCCAAAACCGATGAGGCTCTAGATGAGGGTATGGGTCACCTGAGGCCGGGGATGGGGGAGGGTGGGGGTGAGGAAAGCATCTCTTCTTTCTGCTCATGCTTCTGGCAGGCCCAAAAACTGAGGGCTGTGGGTGGGAGCTTCTGCAGAGTGGGTCCAGGTTCTGGGCAGCATCAGGATCCAGGAGTGGCAGCATCTCCCAAAGCAGTCAAAGCAACATGGCCCCTATATTTACGGGTTTTTTTTCCAAAGCAGTGTTCTCACTGCATTTTTGTCCCCCAAGAAACATACGTCAACAACTGGAGTTGTTCTGGGTTGTCACAACTGGGAGGTGGGTGCTCCCGGCATTTAGTTAGGTAGATGCCAGGGATGCTGCTAAATATCCTACAGTGCACAGGACATCCCCCTACAGCAAAGAGTTCTCTGGCCTCAAATGTCCATAGTGCCATGGGGGAGAAGCCCTGCCCCAAAAGATCAGTTTTCAAGTATTCTGGAAAGGCAGGGTGTCCCAGACCATCTTCCTGGAGCTCAGGCTAGCACCACCACCCTCCCCCCTGCCCCAGGTCATCATCGCCTCCTCCAAAGGCAGCTATGGAAGGTATGCCATGGTGAGCAAGTTCCTAAAATAACACTCCCAGCAGGGGAGTAAGCATGGGTGATGGAACGCAAATGTCTGCTGAGGGGGCTTCAGCTCCCTGCCCTCCCCACGCAGCCCCATTCAGGTGCTGCACAGGAGCTTCTGTTGGGACCCTCACCCTCAAAGGACTTAGCCCCAGTGGTGAGGTGATGCTAGGACCAGAGAGCTGCCTGGGCAATCTCCAAGACCCCAGCAGCTTCAGATATTGAATAATCCATAGTTCTTACTTCCCTAGTCATCTAGAGAGCAAGGCTTAGGCAGCCTCCCAGCCCTGCGTGTGTGTGTGTGTGTGTGCGCCCACATGCAGACAGGACAGGGAAGGACAGGGCTTGCTGCATGAAGAAACTGCCTTGCGAGTCATCATCTTTACTGGTCCTGCGCTCAGCTCTCTCAGGACTCCAGTCAACACTGCTGGAAGCCAGTGACCTCTCCTTTCATCGGATGCCCGGTGGGCAATGGGGCAGCGGTGATACAATGGGGCGGCGGTCTTTACATGCGACTAAACTGTGAGCCACAGTCAGCGAGGAAAGATCTTCAGAGTCTGAGAGTTCAGCTTTGTGACCCCCAGCTCCATCACTGACCTGTCACTTCACCTGTCCCTTTCCTTGCCCCTAGTATCAGATAAGAATGACAGGTACCACTTGAAGACCACTTACAATGCACCAGGCAACTCACATGCATGTCACTGTTACAGCAGGACCTGCATTATGCCCATGATACGAGTGACAAAATGAGGGGAAGTGGCTTGTGCAAGGTCACAGGGGCAGCAAGTGTGGAACCCAGGCCTGTGCCATACGGTCTGCCTCCAAGAGGTAGTGGGAGGTCTCAGCGGCCATGCTGCAAGGTAGGGTCACTTAACTCCACAGCAAGGAGGGTCCCAGAGCAAAAGGTCTCCACGGCCACAGTATTTCTTAACGGTGGAAACTCAAGTTAGGGGACTGACCCCAGCCCGGTAGGCCCACGGTGCCAAGGGCTGCCAAGCAGATGCGCTGTAAACACTCCTGAGTCCCCGAGCCAAAGGCTCTGCTGCCGCTGGCTGGGCAGGCCAGGCCTCGCTAAAAATAGACGGGCCCTCAGGTCCAGCTCCCTGGCTGCCAACCGAGGCAGGCCGCTCCCTACACCCAGCCTCCTCCCCTCCCCCTCCCCCTTCCCCAGCGGGCTAGGGCCAGGCTTCTAGAAGGTACAGAGATGTTAAGACTTTCACTTCAGACCAGTCAGGGCTGTTGGGCTGACGCCCAGTGGGCAAGTTCCAAGTTCTGGTGGGGCCAGAATGGGGGGGGGGCGGTGTCCTGACCCCAACGCCCCACACACCTCCCTCTAAGGAAGGGAGCTGTCAACCTCCAAGCCCACCTGGGGAGGCAGTGGAGCCTAGGCCAAAACATGGCCAATTTCTCCAGATTTTGCAGTTGAATCTGGAGCCCCCTTGCCGTTTCTCTGTCCCTGCACTGATTCTCCCTGTTGACAGCACTGTACAATTTCTGTATTTGCCGCGGCTTTCGGAGATCTGCTGCTGGGCGTCTCAGGAAGGCCCGGGGGAGCGCGGGATGGGGCAGCGCCCGGCCGGCAGGGGCGGGAGACAGGGGGCGCGGGGAGGGAGGCTCCGGAGAGCGCCCAGACGGGAATTTCCTTTCAAAGTTGACTTAGAGCCTCTTCATTAGGGTAGCGCCCCCCCGGGCGGGCCCTAATGGCGAGTTTGGCAGAGTCAGCGAAACGCGGCGCGGCGGCCGGGCGGCGAGGAGCGCCCTCTCCCGCACCCTCGCCGTCTCCCGCGCCGGGCAGCGGCGCGTACGAGCCATTTGCAGCTCAGGCAGCCTCGCGAGCGGCCGCCGCGCACTGGCCGGAGCTGGCGGCACCATGGAGCTGAAGGACAGCAACGCCGTATCCATCGACATGCTGCTGATCGTGCACTCGGAGAAGCGGCACGCCGCACAGGGCGCGCACTCGGACCGCCAGGCGGACCCGGGCGCGCCTCCGCAGCGCAGAGGAGGTAATGCGCCCCCAGGCAAGGCCCCGGCCCCCAGCCCCTGGACCTCCTCGCCCCAGGGCCTGCCTGCTGCGGGGGCGCGCTACGTGCCCCCGAAAGAGGTCCCCGAGGCCGACCCGCTCCCCAAGGCTGGCTGCGCCTCCGCGCTGCGCCTCTGGCATCCCGTGGCAACGCACAGCCCCGCGATTGCCCCAGTTGACACCCCGTGCAGGCCTGCCGTGCTTCCGTCACCCCCGGGAGCAGGTTTCCTCCTGGTCACTCTTTGAAGGGTGCACCTCAGGTTGGAAGATGCCCTGGAAGAAAGGGACCTCGGGCCTGACTCCTGCGTGCCCGAGGCCTGCTCCCCACAGGCCGCATTGCAGGGCACAGGGGACCCAGGGGGATTCGTGTGCTGAGTCAGACTTTGAGATGAGACCCTCCCTTGGTGTCCTTGCACAATTCATGGCCTCACTCTCCCCTTTCTTGAGCCCTCTCCCAGCCTCCTACAGTAGAAGGCATGCCAGGTGTAAAAGGCACCCAAGCTTGGGTAGGGTTAGACTTGAAATATGCTCTCCCCACTTTGGCTTATCTGTTGGTTCTACTTGTCCTACAGACTTTCTGGGGAAGGGTAGACTGGTAAAATAAAGCGACTTTTCATAGAGTGATTGTGGAAAGCAGGGCTCTGGCCTCCGTACTCTCCAGAGAACAGGACACAACGTGAAGGGAGTAGAGATGGATAACAATGGCGGTTAAATCAGCCCCTCATACATCTGGGAGCCCCCTGGTCCCAGGTCTCTGAGGAAGACCTCAGGAGCCCGTGAGGAGGCTGGTGTGAGGGTGCACTGTGTCCTGGTTCTTTGGGAGCAAAGCTTCACAGCTCTCAAGGTAAAATGACCTGCCTCCTGTCTCCCTTCCAGCTCCAGAGCTCCTTGAAGGCTGTCCCCAGTTCTTCTGTCCCCACAGCCCCTATGCACACTGAACATGCACCTTCCACCCACCCTGCTGAAGCAACGGTGCCATGAGTGGCTTTGCCCCCCGCCAGCCCCACAAGTTGCAGCTGCCCCGCAGCTCCTGGTGACCTCCTGGGGAGGCAGACAGGTGAAAGAAAAGAGATTCTGGAGAGCTGAGAATGTTGGCAGGTGCCCCAGTCTCCCGAGTGATTTGGGGCCCAGGAGTTGTTTGGGTTAGTTGGTTCTTTAGTTCTCAGAGCTGCCCCTGGGAGAAGAGGAGATGACCCGCGCAGGGGTATTTGTAATGAGGAAATTGGCAGAGGCCGTTGGCCTTCCTTGATAGAAATGTGGCTGCCCCTACTGCACGGACTGCGGTCTGGAAGGCCAAAGGCCCCCCACGAGGCACAGCTCCAGGTTAGCGCGTGAGTCCCCTCCTCCCTCTCTCCCTCTGATCACATCTCTCCAAAAGGCTCTGACGCTAGAAAGAGAGGGCAGAGAACACAGAGAAGGCCCAGAGATGCCAGGGATCAGGGTTGCTCAGAGAAGTGTCCAGCACCTGGCATAAAGCCTACATGAGGCCAGACCGATGCACTTCACACTCATGACAGTGACTCAGGGAAAGAAGACCGCTGTTTGCTGAGCCCTCTCTGCTGAAATTTTTTCCAAATATTTTCCTGACAGACATTTCTCCCAGGCGCTATGGCAGCGGAGAGACCCGTGTCACTTATTGACGATCAGACAGTTCTGCACCAGAGCAGGGAAGAGGGAGCGTGCATGACCTCCAAGCCCCGCTGGGCAGCAGTGATGTCCAGGAGACCGCTGGCTAAGCCAGTCTGCGGGCCCACTCCTTGGGACGAGCTAAGGAAGGGAAATGCTGGACAAGACCAGCTTGTTCCAAGGCCTCCTGTTAGTGCACAGAGATCCAAAACCCACCCCTTCCCCACTTCCAGGCGGCTCCTCCAGTCTCCTCCCCGCTCCAGGCCCCCGGCTGGACAGGGAATCTTCCCCAGCTCTGCAAAGGAGGGCCTGAGCTCTGCTTTGAGAAAAGAGCAAAGCTCGGTTACTCTCACATGCAGAGGACTGAGTAAGGGTGTGACCAGGTGGCTTTCTGTTGTGTCCTTGTGGCAGAAAAGAGTCAGAGGGACAAGGGGGCAGGCAGCGTGTGCACCGGGAATTTGGGCTGCAAGGCAGCAGATACTCCCTCCCCTTTCTTGCAGGGCCCTAGCATTTCCCCAGCAGTTTCCTTAGAGCTGCACTTCTCCAAAACATGCCTAGAAGCCCTCAACTCCTATTGTATATTCCCCTGGCCATGGAGGAGGTAGCCTAAAGCTGCCGCAGCAGGTCTGAAAAAGCTTCAACGCCTTAGGTTTTATCCCCAAAGTGGATGGGATGTGTACATTCCACTCCCCAAGTGTTGGTGAAGATTCCGAGTGGTAAGGCCCAGACACTGACTATGGAGGGCTCTGTGGAAAAGAAGGGTGTCAAGAAAGGACTGGGGGCGCTCAGAGTGGTGGAAAGGGTTGCAGACCCAGACTGGAGGCTGAGCTTCCAGGAACGCGACCATAAGCTGTGCGGAATGGCTGGTTTGGTAAGGAAGCCTCCGCTGCCACCAAGGAGCCCTAGACGCTCCTTCTGCGCCAGGAACTTGAAATTGTTGCAGCTGCTTGCGCTGCCAGAACGTTTGCCAGTTCTGTGCCAGGAACTCGACCTTGCAGCCATCACTTCCAGCCACCACCAGAGAGAGAGAAAGAGAGAGAGAGAGAGAGCGGTTCCATTCGCTTCCCTGTTGCCTCACTAGGTCCCAAGAGAGAATGGGACACAGGTTCATTTCAGTGGATGCCTCGGCCACACAGGTCCATGCTCTAGCTGCAAGGGAGGCTGGGAGAGCAGGCAACCATCATGTTCAGTTCCCATCAGGATCCATCAGTTTCCATCTTTGCCCACCCCCCACCCACATCAAGACTCTAAAAGTGGGAGATTCACCACACACAGAAGTAGGCAGGAAAAATGAATGGCAAATGTCTTCACGATAATGCTTCCATATTTATGCAGTGGAAATGTGGGAGTGACAAAGGGGCACCTCTATTGTGAAAATTCTCCCTGAATGATCCTCATAACCAACCCGCCACCCTTGGAAACTACCGTGGTAATATTTTTTTAATGTTTTGAATGTGGAGGGCTGCATTCATTCCTCCAAGTACACTTCATTCGTGGGCAGCCTCCCTCGGATCCCGGGAGAGCCAAGTTCCACCAGCCCCGCTTTAGCCCAGATCAGTTTGCAACTGGTGCATCACACACTTGACCTGAGTCTCCCCACCGCAGAGAGCCTCACACCAGTCCTTGTTACTTCACAGGGCTTCAAGGTGTTGGAAACGGAATCCGGAGACGGCAGAAATTAGAAAGAAATGACCTACATGGTAAATTCTCTCATTTTCATTTTGTTTTCTTTCCGATCTCTGGAATTCAACACACTGAAAAATGCCTGGAAGCATTGGGTTTCACTTGCTTGAGGACTAGTCTAGACATCTAACCACTCAGACAGTGGCTGCTTGTGATGCAGCCCGGCCTCTGGGGGCACTGTGACCCTGGAAAATTTTCCTTGGCAACAGGTCCACCAATTTCCTGGAGGGTGTGCAGGGCAGGCGGAGCAATGCTATAACCCTGAGCACCCACTTGTTCGCTGGCTGAGCTATAAAGAACTTGGCATCATTTGGGATGGTGGGTTTGGGTGTGTTCCCATGGGAGATGGGGCTTCCCAGGTCATGCATCCCATGCATCTTGGGGCACCCATCTTTTGAAAATATTTCTGAACAGAGAAGACAGCAGCCTGCCTTGGGTGGTGTTACTCAAGGCCTCAGAAGATGCTACTCACGGGTTCTGTGGCTCCTGGCCTGGGAACCAGAATACAATAAGATCTGAAGAAATCAGCTTCCAAAGCCTCTTTATGGTGCCAGGTGTCTTTCCCCCTGCAGGCCCAGGATTTCTCTGACCATGCCATGCATGAACCGTTATACTGGGCCTTATTCTATGCCCTTATTGTGAGATTTGTAAGCCCGGCCTCCAGGAACAAACACTGTGGAACTGCACTGTGGGCATGTGAGAATTCCAGTAAGGATCAGTCCTCCATTCCCAGAGCCCCAATAGGGGATTCAGTCAGATTCCGACTGTGTGAACCCCAGGATCGGATGACTGACTCATCAAATGCCAGTAGGAAGGGACCCACCCCCCATGACCCTCCACAAATGGGGAAACAGGACCCCAATTGAACAAAACAGAGCACCTATGCTCTGCCATCCTTCTGACAGTAACAAAAGGGGAGGATGAACTTCTAAAAGTAAATTCATGCATACATTCCCTCAGTAAAGGTCGACAGTGATTACTTTGTGCCGGGAAGGGTTCTAATTGTTGGAGATGGAACAGTGCACGGGACAGTCGGGAGTGCCTGCCCTCCTGGGGCCATGTTAGAATGATTGCATCATAATGCCATTCACCACAGCCAAGTCTCAGCACCCTGGAGGTGAAGAGCTTGCCTGTGTCCCCTGCACTGTGGATGGAGATAACTCATCCTCAAGACACCCGCCCACCAGGGACCACCCTCTGAGTCCTGGCTGATGGGCATACATGGGTGGGATGGCTTCCTAAACCTTGATACGGGGCCATCAGATGGTAGATGCACCAGTTCCAGCTCTACCTAAGCAGACACCAAGGTTAGCGAAACTGTGCTGTGGGCTCTTGAGAATTACAGTAAGAATCAGACCTCCAGACACCTGACAGCCACAGAAGCACATAGCAGCCCATGCAGGGAGGCGTGCTCGGCCGGTGTGCGGGTGGGTGGAGGGCAGGCGGGCCACGTGGGAGGAAAGAGACACTGCGTCTGTGTTTGTTGCAGCTCTTTGCCTGAGTTGTTGGAAATTCATCTTATGGCTTCTCGGGCATGTTATTAATGTTATCAGTCCTCAGGAGAGGATTGAAATATACTGAATTCATCCTCTTTTTACCATATTCGGGGTTCCTGGTTTGGAGGAAGTTTAGTGGAAAAATATAACAAAACACAAAGAGACACGATAACTCTTACAAGACTCTGTCTTAAGACATGAAGTGGGTTTTAGTACAATGTACCAGCCGATAAAGAGAATGATTATAGTTCTTGCAAAACCACCCAAGAACTGAGAGTTTCAGGTAAGTGCAGGGCTGGAGAGAGGCCGCACAGAGGCCTTGAGCCTGGGAAAGATGATGGTTCCACCACTCCACCAACATAACGCAATTTAAAATTTACTAGGTCAAATTTTATTTATTTTTTCGAGTGGCATGCTTGCATCCGTGCAGAAGTTAAAATTCCAGCTTCTTTCTGTGTCTTCTGATGGTGAGGTCCTGGGTACATACTTGCCTTGCTGGTGCCCAAGGCACCCAGCCCTGGTAACTGGATGGCTTTCATCTGAGAAGGAAGCAGCTGATGGCTTGTGCTTGGTGGAGTGTGCACAAATGTGGCTGAACGTGGGGTTGGTCCAAAAGGGCACATGTCCCCCCTCTTTCTGCACTGTGCACTCCTTGGGCTGGGGCGTTGGCAGGGTGGGGGGAGCCCAAGTACTCCAAACTCTTCCAAGCAGCAGGTGTTTGGGCTGAGCCACCAACTTGCCCGGCAACGGGCTTCCCCTGCTGTGATTGGCTGCTTTCCTTGGTCCTGGCCGAAGTCTGCCTAGCAGCACAGGGACTAACGCCCCACAGCTACAGGGAAACCAACTGTGCAACCCTGACTATAAATAGCCCACAGCAGCTATGCCAGCCAATCGTCCTCCTTGAGGATTCCCTTCCCAGATCCTATTTCTTCCATCAGCCAGCAGAGCAGAGATGCGGCCAGCTGTGCCTGCAGGAGGCAGCTGCCCTGTCCTCGCCTGGGTCTGGCCTGGAGCTCCAGCCCAGTATACTGCATCACCCTGGGTTGGCACACACAGCGGTCCTGGCCCTTGGCCAACCAACCGACTTCAGCCCGGTGGGGGCTAAGGGTCCTGGCTGGGCCTGCTTATAGAGAAGGCTGGAGAGGATGGGCTTCCCAGGGCAAGACCCTGCCAGGAGGATTGCAAGTCCAGCCCAGCTCAGTGACCCACCCACCCATCCACCTTGACTGGCTTCTGCCTGAGCCCAGGCATGGGAAACGCTGAGTGACAGATCTGGTTGGGTACACAAGGGATGTCATATGAATGGAACCAGGTCAGGCCAGTGCCCCTGAGTGCTTGCACCAGGTCCAGGCACAGGTGCCAGTGGTCACTTCCAGTGACAGGCCCAGCAGCCTTTCTGCAACCCAGTGGGAGACCAGGGGAGAAGATGGCAGGCCAGGGTGGTAGTGGCCCTTCCCCCACCCCTCTGAAGCAGAGGTTCAAGGGCAAGACCCGGCCACCACAGCAGCTATAAATGGAGAGATAGAGAGAAGGCGGTGCTTCCTGTAGGAAGGGCAGATAAGCCTGTGGGTTCCCCCTCCATGGCCTATGGCTGCAGCTGGGCATCTCTCCACAGCAGCCTGGCTCCACTAGGCTCTGAGGACAGCTCTGTGTCCCGGGACATGAATATCACCAGTGCATGGAGAGCATTCACCCTGCAGAACGGGTGCCCTGCAAATGTCTGTGAAACTGAACCAAACTGCAAGCACCCCAGCTCCTAGGCTAGAGTAGGTGGCAGGGTACCCACCCCTCGCATTCCTCTCAGAGGGAGGCAGGAGGCTGGAGACTTGGGTTCAAGTCCCGGGTCTCACCTGGCTGTAGGGTCTTTGGCAAAGTTAACCAGTCGAAGCTTCAGGCCCGTAATCAGGATAGGAGCCTCCCTGGCCGTTCCAAAGAAAGGTGTGGAGATCAGCGGGGCATCCCTCTGCACTTTAGGAACTGGGCCCGGCTGCAGCAAAGTCAGGAACTATGGTCACTTAGCCCATGGGAGGCGTCCCCAGCTTCTCTAGAAAAACCCAGCCTCTGCCGGCACCTGCCGAGAGCGTGAGGCTGTGCGTACACGGGCTCCCGGTCACTTGCCTCTGTGTTCAGGTGTGTGACTCTGCTGATTCACACATGTTTAGGCCGAGCCTGGCAGCTCTCTCCTCTGCCTGGGGAAAAATCCACCCCACCGTGGGCCCAGTGGTCACTGCAGTTCCCTCTGTCTTCCTTAAATAGGAAACCTGGTGGAGAAGCTGCACGCCCAGCAGACCCAGGTCATCACCTCCTACGACAACCAAGGTAAGTTTCCGCCACTGCCTGTGACCTGCCCCCCAGCTCCTGTGTGCCCAGATCCACGGTCCTGGCCAGAGACAGCAGGTGCAGAGCCCAGACCGTGGGGAGCAGGGGCCTCTCTGTTCTGGGGATGCTGGAGCACCCTTCCCCTCTCCCACATCCCATGGAAAACAGTGAGAGGCTGCCTGTGTCGTGGAACAGAGAAGTAAAGTCCTCGGGCTCCAGCATCCACTGCTGTCATCATCATCACCCTGGTTGTCATCACTATACCTAACATTTGCTGAGTGCCAACTTCACGTCAGACACCCTGCCAGACCACGTACATGATCATTCTCATGTGGATTATGCCTCACAACAGTCGTATTTGATTGGTACTCTTACTATCTTCATTTCGCAGATGAGTGAGCTGAGGCTTAGGAAGGTTTTCTTTCGTCCAAGATCACATGGCCAGCAAGAGTTAGAGCGGGAGCCGCCTGACCCCCTCCCTGCCCCCCAGGCCCCGCCCCCCCCCAACCACC